GCAGGAAAGGAAATAAGGAACTAATGAAAAAAGAGTAACACAGTTGGGTCAATCCTGCTTTTCTTCTTCACCCCTTCTTCTCTCATTAAGTCTGTATCCCAAAGGATGGCTTATCTTTCAAGTTTTACATTGCAGTAGAGTTAAAAAGATGTTTCATCATAGAATAGATCATCATTATAATTTCCCTCTAATTAAAGGTCCCACTTAATCAAAGTGCTGATGTTCATGATTGTATGCTGATAATCATGATCATATTCATGATTATTTTAAAAGCCATTTAAGTGCAATGGAAGGAATGCTACAAAAGGTAGTGTCCTGCAAATCTACTCTTAATCATTATACCTGTCGTGCAGGAATGATGTGTCTTTATTTCATAATCCAAATATTTTCAGGGATCGGTGATTTTGCATGATTTGAGGATTTGTAATTCAGACTTTAAAAAAAAAAACTGTCCAGTTTTACTCATTTCGTTTACACTTCCTCTATCAAATGTTATTACGATGTTGTAGTTGTGTGCTTGCTTTTTACAGGATTCGTCTCTAGTAAGGAAGAGTGTTAGTATATGCTGGAGAGGTCAGGTGTAAAGTAACTTATCGGACTTCTTCCTACATTTGTAAAAGACAGCTCAGTTACTGTAAAACCAGTTAATATTAGTATTAGTTAAGAAAAGCACTTAGGCATGTGTTCAATTTTAAGCTCATAAATAATTAAATGTCATTTGCAATTGTGCCTCTTATCTTTGTTTATATTGGGTTTTTTTGAAGTGCTTAAATTATCATACACAAATGCTTTGCCAAATTTGGAGTTAAATTTCCCATTAACTTTTGAGATCTTTCCTTTGCAGAAACTCAGTTTCTTTTTATGAAGGCTTTATTACAAACACTAATGATTAAAAATAAACATTAAAGAAAAATCTTTAATGTTTATTTTATGGAAAAGTAACTGCTGTTTAAAAAAAAACCAACATAGTTGCTGATTGTGGGTTTATATAAAATATATATTCAGAGGATTTTTAGCATGTTAATTTAAGCTGGTGTATATGTATGTATTTATGTACAATACAATTTTTACTGTGTCTTGATTTGAAGAACTCAGCTATCTGTAAAAATTGTAGAACTGACACTAAAAATATGCATCAGTTTTCATTCCTAGTATTTATCAGAGAGTGAAGTTCTGCCTTGGGTTATGCTAAAAAATACTCTGGTACACGGGCAATTACTACTGAGGTGAGTAATAATGGCTTGTCATTTCATTTTGTTTCTCTGCTAATTAGACACTCCCAATATAATATAACCTGATATGTTACCCTCTGATGAACTTTCTGTTTTACTTCCTTTAACAAAGCGAAATTTTAAACTGAAATAAACTGATACCGCGTATCTACAGTAGCAAGGTTAACAGGTGAATAGTTTACTGTACTAATCAGCTCTGAGTTATCATTTTAAGTATTTGCTTTCAGTGAGGTATTAGGGTTCTGTGCTGGATAAATCCCATGGACTTTGATAACAGGAGAGCCACATTTTGGACAGAGCTACGGACTTTGGTGTAGGTAGATGAATTATTTTAGTTGTCTGGACTATGTGGTAAAGCTTCAAAAGTTCAGATTAGATGCACAATTCAGGTTTGATAACGTCATATAGAATTGGCTCAAGTTTTAGTTACTTCACTTTGTCACTGTCAAGTAACTTGCTGACTTTCATTTCAAGAAGAGTTTCCTGTGAATAGATAGCTTTAAACAAGGTGACTGTGATGAACTTGATTCCCATTCGTTTCATGTTAGAGAAAGCAAAAATATGAGTAAGTGCAATTACAACAGAAATATGAGTTGGCAGTACTGTTTGTAGCTTACTGTTTAAATCAAGAACTCTTCTTAAGTTTCAGCTGCTTGCTGAATGTGCCGCATATATATTGGGTCTCTGATACATGTACGCATTTTGGGTAAAAATAAATGCAGAAAAACTTTTGTATGAGTGTTGGTAGTGGGCAGAAAGAAATGGTAGCTGATATGTAAGTGTTTTTTCTTTGACAAATTCTTGTTTAGAAAAAGGTGGTATAATCTTACATTGGACATGTAGGAAGAATATGAAGAATAAAAGAGCTCTAGAGACTATTTACAAAACAAAGCCTGTTTGAGGATATGGGAGAGACACGATCTGCTACCTGAAGGGTTTGGATTTATATTGCCTACCCTGCAAGGGAAAGCCTAACTATAAAATAGAGTAGCACGAGGGATGTCTTAATTAGTCCTCTTGATTTTTACAGAAGATCCTCCATCATGTGAAGGATTCAGGGGTGACAAGGGGCAGAGATAGTGAGAATAGCTCTTAACAGTCACGTTAAAGGGGAAATGTCAGGTCCCAGGCAAGCTTCAAAAGTGTATTATCTTTTGCCAGTGACTGTTGTTTCGGTATGTGTACTGGCACCATGATTGCCTTTCATTAGAGTTGTGTAGTGAACACGCAGGCTAGATTTCAGTGGTCATTTTTGTTGCAATGGGCTAATTTTGGAGTAATCTCTTTTTGGTCATGTGAGCACTTGTTTTTTTACTTTAAATTGCCTAGTGTATTCCAAAAAAGATCTTAGATAATGTGGGCTGTTTTATCATAATTTTGTGAAACTGGAAAAAGTAAACTGTGCAGTAATTTATAATAAGCTATTATGAAAAAATAGCTGATTACCTGAAATTTGAAATAAACAGTTTTCTTTAGTCTTTTGAGTACAGAATGTTTATGGGGTGATTTATGATGAATTTGTATACTGTAAATCATATACTTCCAAGTTCATGTGCCACACAAATAGATTATACCTGACGAAGGTGGACAAATTTAATGCCCATATTAATCACATGCACACAGTCAGTTACTCAAAATCTTCATCTTGATCTGGTCTTGGAGGCAAATCTTGAGTGTCTTGTGCGTGTGGTTATATCCTCTTAAATAAGCTTCTTCACTTGCCTGTGTTCCATATTTTCAAATAGCTGGTTTCACAGCGCTGTGTGCTTTGTGCCTGTGTTTGTGAAAAGTAGGATTCACCTCTCTCAGTTTTCCAAGCTGTGAAAGCCAGCCCACTATTTCTATAGAAGGATAATCTTGTAAATTGAGCAGAACATATTGAGAATTATTTGGCAGGACGTTCTCAGAGAGAATTCCCGTTTTGAGGCCTTGAGATCTCTGCTGGTTTTGGCTGTTTGGTGGCTCTTGCCAGGGAAGTTGAGGAGAGGTGAGAAGGATAGACTAACATATTGTCATTACATTTGCTAACTTTGGCACAAGGGGTGGGGGTTAGCCCTTCACCTACTTCTAGCTCTGTTAATTTATTTTTATCTGATCTTTGTCCTATTCATATATGTTTCTCTCCAGTTCTGCGCTATTTCCTGTAGGGTGATCCAGTGTGTTCTGATCTTAGTTCATTTCAAATCAATATGAATCATATAAAACTCAGCCTTTTGAGGTCAGAGATATTTTATAATACTTGGTGATTTCAAGTTCTTAATACTTTTAAACCTTGAGCACACATTAGTTAACTAGCTTTTCCAGAGCCCATGTGGGAACAGTTTTTTTAAAATTGTATTTTCTATTAATATTCTCTTAAAACACTGTTTCCTGTTTCCAGAAGTAACTCCAAATGAGTCTAATTACACCCAGCAGGACTAATTATCCTAAATGTCAGCATTATAAGAGCAATAATAAGGTATGTCCAGTGGAAGGAAAATGCTGTATTATGCATGAAGCTGTTGCATAAATGATTTAGAAAAACTTGTCATTAATGCACTTGTCTGAAAAATCCTTGGATGGTACGTTTGTTTCTTTCTCTTGTTCTCAGACAGGTTTGTCTATCCTCATTTCTCATGCTATATAGCTTTATGTATGTGACTGGTTTAACGGAGCTTTCCCACTGCTAGAAATACTGGAGGAGAGAGAAACATTTGGGAGCAGTCATATGCTATAGCTGTCTCCCACATTACAGACCACTTGCCCTAAAAGGGTTGCCATTATTTTTTTTTTGCAGATGGAAGGATTTTTTAATTGTTTATGAAAAGTGTTCTAAAGGGAATGAGCAGTGAGCAATGCGGAGGCAATGATACCAAATTATTCCATTTAGTAAAGAGCAGGGCTGATGAAACTAAATATATATATATA